GATAGCTTGAGCCCGGGAGGTGGAGGCTGCAGTGAACTATGATCGCACCACTGCACTCCAGCCTGGGCGACAGAGCGAGACCCTGTCTCGAAAACACTAAAAATAAAATTATATACATACATACATATATAGAGAGGTCAATGTGTTCAGTAGGACAGGATAGTCAGGGCTGGGCTCACTGAGAAGGTGGGATTTAAGGCCTGAAAGTAGGATGGAGGAGTCATGCCGAATCGGAGAGAGCATTCCAGGTCTTGGGAACAGTTAACAGCAAAGGCCTGGAGGTGGGAATGTGTCTGGATTGTCAGCTGTGCAGCACAGAGGTCAGTGTGGCTGGAGGCGAGCAGATGAGGGTGTGGAGGTGAGGGCACAAAATCGTGGGAAGCCTCGGGTTTTCCTCTGAGCTGGATGAGACAGTAGGGCTTTGTCAGTCAGCGTGGAAGGAAGTGGGTTCTAACTATCACCAACAGATAAACTGGGGATAGGGCGCAGCGGAGGCTTAGTGGCCCCTGTTGGGAGAGCTGGGGGCGCCGTGAGCCTGCAGCTAGAGGCGGTGCTTGGTGTGCGGCTTCAGCACGGTGGACAGCGCCATAGGCGTTGCCTGGAGACCAGGAAAGCGGCCGATCAGGGGGCGGAGCCTGCGTAAACGTCCTATGAGAAGCGGCGCGCTCCACGCAGTGGCACACTCTGTGAGGGCGGGGCCGGCGAGTGCGGCCAATTAGAAGAGTTTGTTGCCGGGCGTGGTGGCGCTTGTCTGTAATCCCAGCTACTCAGGAGGCTGAGGCGGGGGAATTGTTTGAACCAGGCAGTCAGAGGTTGCACTGAGTGAGTGGAGATGGCGCCACTGCACTCCAGCCTGGGCGACAAAAGGAGACTCCGTCTCCAAAAAAAAGGTTGTTTACAACCCCAGGACGAAGAGAATTTATACACAGGGCAGGGCCTGCGAAATCCCATCTGGAGTCGGAGCTTGTTAATTGCGCAAGGAAGGAAGGAAGGCGCGGTGGGCACCTAGGGACCAGCGGGAAGTTTGGAAGCGGTGGTTTGCAGCTGCTGGGCCTGGGGCGGTTTCCGTGCTCTTCACATGGAGGCTTGCGCAGCATCCCAGGTGCGTGACCGGGGCTGTCAGATCCCCAACCTTGCCTTCTCTGGGATCGCCCGCGACTGCTCAGGGGAGCCCCCAAATAGGGGACTATGTGGTTGGCCTTAGGGAGCGGGTGCTGAGGTCCTGGGTCCAGAATACGGACTTCTGAGCACTGACTGAGGAATACAGAACATTTGGGAGAGGGGAGTTAGGGGTTTTGCTGAATGAAATAAGGGTCCTTGGAGCTCTGAGTTTGGGTGGTCATTTCGGTAGCCTGGAGGATTTCTCCAGTTTATTCATCGGACGTGTGTGAACTGTCCTTCTGTGACATTGCCACCCACCTACTGCCCCGTTGCCAAGCAAGATGACCTTAGGCGTCAGATCTTTTGAGAAGACAAACGCACTGGCCCAAGAGTTGGGAGTTCACGGACTTCTTGGTTACTCCGTGGAGAGAATGACCGTCTCCCTGAGAATGAGATGGGCCCCTTTTCTTTGACATACCGTTTTTAACCCTCGAGTCTGGGAGCGCTTCCCTTATCAAAACCAGTGTACTCGGCCGCAAAAATCACTGTAAACCTCAGCTCTGATGTTCCAGAACTCAAGCCTCTTGTGGTCTCCAGGGCCCCTACTCTCACCTCTCCCACACACCCACTCAGCTAAGCAACCAAAACAACTGTACTGAGGCGCAGTGGCTCACAACTGTTAATTCTAACACTTTGTGAGGCCGAAGAGAGGAAGCTTTGAGGCAGGAATTGGACACCAACCTGAGACCCCGAATCTATGAAGAAAAACATTAGCCAGGCAGTGTGGCCTGTAGTCCTAGATACTCAGGAGGATGAGTGAGCCATGATGGCACTACTGCACACCAGACCAAGACCCTGTCTAAAAAATACTGTTTCAGCTGGGTGCGGTGGCTCACGCCTGTAATCCCAGCACTTGGGGAGGCTGAGGCAGGCGAATCACAAGGTCAGGAGTTCAAGACCAGCCTGGCCAACATGGTGAAACCCTGTCTCTACTAAAAATCCAAAAATTAGCCAAGTGTAGTGGCAGGTGCCTGTAATCTCACTCAACTACTCGGGAGGCTGCGGCTGAGTAGCTTGAACCTGGGATGCTGAGGTTGCAGTAAGCTGAAATCACTCCAC